ATCGATAGAGCGGGTCAAAATTAGTGGAAAACAACCCTGATATGAATTCCAAATGGCCATTTTAAGCAGACACAAAAATAAAAAGAAAATCCCATTTTTGGCTCTGGAAAATTTTCAAAATCCTGACATGGTCTTGAACAATTGCCCATATCTTTGGTAAATTTCGAGCAAATTGGAATAAATTATACGTTATTGGATAGAGAATTAAATTCTCTATAAATCTTTGCAAAATTGAGTTCGATAGCTCGAATAGTTTTGGAGCAATTGAGCCTTAAAGTTGACTTTTAGTCCAAATTTTGTCAAAAACTTCAAACTCAATTTGCTCAAAAACTATAAATCTGGAAATATTGCAAATAACAGGCCATTTAGAACTTAATAAAAGCTACAAACTCTGGGAATTTTATTGCAATTTGCTGAACGGTTACCGAGCAATTGAGGTTTGAATATTTTGAAATCAGAATTCAAAGGGGGTACCCTTTTGAAAAATTCGATTTTTTTATTTTTCAGTTTTGCTCAATTTTGACATTATGAATCGATAGAGCGGGTCAAAATTAGTGGAAAACAACCCTGATATGAATTCCAAATGGCCATTTTAAGCAGACACAAAAATAAAAAGAAAATCCCATTTTTGGCTCTGGAAAATTTTCAAAATCCTGACATGGTCTTGAACAATTGCCCATATCTTTGGTAAATTTCGAGCAAATTGGAATAAATTATACGTTATTGGATAGAGAATTAAATTCTCTATAAATCTTTGCAAAATTGAGTTCGATAGCTCGAATAGTTTTGGAGCAATTGAGCCTTAAAGTTGACTTTTAGTCCAAATTTTGTCAAAAACTTCAAACTCAATTTGCTCAAAAACTATAAATCTGGAAATATTGCAAATAACAGGCCATTTAGAACTTAATAAAAGCTACAAACTCTGGGAATTTTATTGCAATTTGCTGAACGGTTACCGAGCAATTGAGGTTTGAATATTTTGAAATCAGAATTCAAAGGGGGTACCCTTTTGAAAAATTCGATTTTTTTATTTTTCAGTTTTGCTCAATTTTGACATTATGAATCGATAGAGCGGGTCAAAATTAGTGGAAAACAACCCTGATATCAATTCCAAATGACCATTTTAAGCAGACACAAAAATAAAAAGAAAATCCTATTTTTAGCTCTGGAAAATTTTCAAAATTCTGACATGGTCCTGAACAGTTGTCCATATATTTGGTAAATTTCGAGCAAATTGAAATAAATTATACATCATTGGAAAGAGAATTAACTTCTCTATAAATCTGTGTAAAATTGAGTTCGATAGCTTAAATAGTTTTTGAGCAATTGAGCCTTAAAGTTGACTTTTAGGCAGAAAAGCATCACATATGAAGAACAACAATATTTTCATTTCACCAAAAACATCGTATTTATTCAAAATTTAATATGGAATTTGTTAATTTGATGAAGTGAAGAAAAAAAAATTCCACGTTTCCATTTATATGTGCCAATTTAATTTATTCCGATTGTTTTCGAAACCTGGTTGAAATATTTGCTGTGCATTAAATTAAAATGCTCCCGAAATTAAATGAAATGAATATTTCCATTTCGCCCAAACGTTTTGCTATTTTATTTTAAAATTAATTTAAAGGTAATTTTCATCAGGCCCTTCTCGTGATGAAACGCAAAGTGCCCTTCATTGCGATATGTATATGTGGTGCTCGAGACTTTTTGCCGCATAAACCCTAACTGGGAACCCTCCCTGACTTTACAAAATTAGCGCCTTACAAATTTGGCGCCCGAGCAGGAACCTGGTGATGTTTCCGCCAGTACAAGTTTAGCCGTATCCAGACCAACTTCATTACCAAACAGGGAGGTTTTCTCTGAATAAGAGGGGATGTGTAATGAAGTTACCTAAATTTTACAAGTGAAGTTAATAGATACTACAGGCTTTCCTGCATCAGAGATTTCGCCCGAGTATTTTTATTTCAATTGAACTCTAGCGGATCTCACTCGAGTACCTTGAATGGGTGATCCGTAAGAGGGATTTTCGCCTAAGTACCCTGAACAAGCATTTCCATTCGAAGGCTTATGGTGTCACGCCGCGAAGTTATCATATTTTGCCCGAGTACCCTAAACGGGCAACCTCTATTGCCGGATCTTGTCCAAGTACCCCGAACGATTGATCTATAAGAGAGTCTTTTGCCTGAGTACCCTGAACAGGCATTTCTCTCGGAATTTTAAGTGTATGCCGGAATTAAATAAAATTCACTTTCACGAGGACTGGTACTTCCGTTATTCGGGATCCATATTTATGCTTGGGTTACCAGAGTTTTTACCATTACATCCTGTTGCTACTAATTTACACTGCTACTGCTCACCGTCATTACATTACCGTTCCGTAACCTCACCAGCTTATAGAGTAGTTAGGTAACTCTGCATCTCATTGCACCGTTGTTCATAGCTTTCTCCACTATCGTTCGCACTGTTATAACACCCTATCTTGCATGTTCTCGCTTGCTCTTCAATTTTTTTAAATTATCATTACATCTTAGTATTTTTATTACCTTAGAACATCCTCTCTAGGTAAGGACGTCCCATATATATTATTTTTTTCTTTTCCGTAATACAGAAGCTTCCATCCACTGTTTTATTGTATATCCAGGCCACAAAAGCAGTTGAGGGCTTTTTAGTTGTTTACACTGGACATTCGCTGAGTCTTGATTAAGCATCGGTTGTGACCCCTGAATTACCGTTTCTTCACTGTAACAAAGCTGCCTGGTGCACGTGGGCCTTCAACGACTTTAATCCTGAGGTGCTCGAGACTTTCTGCCGCATAAACCCTAACTGGGAACCCCCCCTGACTTCATAAAATTAACGCATTATAAATGTGGCGCCCGAGTAGGGATCTGTTGATGCCAGGGACATAGCAACAGGTCGTGCAAGTCGTGCCGCGCACAAGGGCCAGGGCCCCAAAGGGGCCCGACATATTCTGCCGCTTTTTGGACACAACATACAAAAAAAAAATCATTTAACGCTCGCCCAAGCAATATTCGCTTTGGCAATTTTAAACCGAAACAGAAAACTGTAATATCGATCTCTGCAGATTTCTGTTCAGTCAGTCCTCCGACTCCTAGTACTCAATATTGACAATTGTCATTCTGAGCCGTGTATTGGCTTTCAAAAATGTCTATTTTACGGGCCTATTTCAGTCAGTAAAATGCTTCATTTTCGGCCTAGTCCCTAAAAGGCGTTATAGCAATAAAAAAAAATAATTACCTGGCGCTCTTGCCCCAACAATGCCAATGCGTAATCAGTTTTAAATTTTTAATGTCACATTTACTTCACTGTCAATGAAATTCAATCAATTTTTAGAGTTTTTAGACTTGTATATTGCGTGAGGAGTCCGGAAAGTGCTGTTTTTTTGGACGAGTAGACAAGATTCCAATCTGCGAGTCCGAAAAAACACTTTCCGGCAGTATTACGTATACTATTCTTTCCGTCGGAGAGAACATACTTTCCAGACTCGGCCGCAAAGTAATAACTTCTTGGCCTAAGTAATCACATCCCGGCCCAGGCTTAAAAAGGCATACTTTCTTAAGTATAACGCGTTCGGAAAGTATGTACTTTCAGAAAGGTTGCCGAAAAACCTCATTTTAGGTACTTGTTACAAAAATAGGTATCGTCTGTTAACCTTCCAAAAATTTCTCGCCTACGACTTTGCCATGCGCCATTTTGCCCATAACCCCCCTTCGCGTCAATGAATTTGAAAATTTCAACCTTCCGATGCCCATGGTGAAGGGAGCCCACAGTGCTCTAGTCTTGCAATAGGGCCCGGTTTTGACTTGCTACGTCCCTGGTTGATGCTTCCGCCAGTACAAGTTTAGCCGTATCCAGACCAACTTCATTTCCAAGCAGGAAGGTTTTTTTCTGTAGAAGAGGGGGTGTGTAACGAAGTTTCTTAAATTTTATATTTAAGCGGCATAGTTTATTGGCGCGATTCGACTAATGCAACTTTTCTGGCGCATGGAAACTCGGAAAATTAACTGGCGCCACGTATTCAATTGAGAAAAATATTGTAGATAAAAGGACATTCATGTTTCCCCTATTCCAAGCTCTTGAATTTATTTTTTTTTGATACAAGAGCCGGGAATAGACAAAAATTGAGAAATAGAGAAGAGAAATCGTTCCACAGTCATACAATATTTTAGAATTGAGAGTCTTATAAAGTCAATGTTGCTTTCTAATGTCAAGTTGAATTTTTCCCAAAAAAATAAATATATGCTTAAGTTAACCCAAACAAGTATAATCGTATCCCGGATGACTAAAGCATATTCCCTTATTTACCAGTGTAACGTTACTTCTATTAGATTCTCGAAACAAACGGACGGGAAAACTTTTGTTCCTCTAGTTACAGCTACAGACATTTGGGCAAAAAGTGACAAAAACAAAGTGCCCCAATACATCAATTTCAATAAAAGTTTGGCAAAAGATTTCTGGGACGTAAACGCGTCTTTTGTTTACTGGAACATAAATAAATGAATGGAAGTTGAATTTAGTTGTAGGTTTTTTTTGTGTCACAAAGGCGCTATAGAGGAAACTCCAGTTAAAACTTTCCCGCTAACTTTATGATTGTCTTTTGCGTCCAATCAAAGACTCTAAACCGGAAAACAAGTAGTAGAAAAAAGGTTAAAATGTTTACCATGGAAGTTTATTATACGCTTTTATAATGAAAATTAATTTTCGCCTTTGTTGTTTTTTAATTAAAACATATCTCTACGAAACTATCCGGGCGAGTATATTTTTGCTCTAATTTTATTTTAAAATAGAGTAATAGAACATGGGATAATTGAAAAAAAAAACCTCAATTGAGACAGCGCTAAAGAATAATAAAAAACCTTGCGCAATGATCTGGAAACCATTTTCTCAGTCTGGTTTTTCTTTAAAAACGATTATCCTCTTTCCTATCGTTTTGGGGCCTTCTTGTTTAATACAGCTTCAACGTCAACCGGCTGGAAAAATACTTTGCTTGTTTTTATTTAATTTATTTCTCAGCAGCTACAAAATAACAAAAAAAATCTTATTTTCTAGGATCGTGGAACAGGCCTTTGGCAAACATCGATTCCCATTCGGTACCGTTCGGGTAAACGTAGGCGGCTAACGATTCGGGTTTCATTGTGGTACTATATCCAGAAGACTTTAAAAAAAAAACGCAACATTAAAATCTGAAATCATTAATATACATTGCGTGCCACGTCACCTTAACAAATATGTTTCCCACCTAAGTGTATAGGTGACGCATAGTATTTCACTGTAAGCCGCATCACCGTTCTATTGGTATTTTTATTGGTTTGTATTCAAGGTGGCTCCCTGAGAAACATTTTGATATTTTTGGTATGAGTGAATGTATTCAAATACTCTTTTTATCGCCAATTTAGTAAAACTGTAAATAAAAAAAACCTTGTAATCTCGGTCTTATTTCCATGAAAGATTGATTTCCGGGAAATGAACCTTTCTTGACAATCAAAACCGAGAAAACAAGGTTCTTTTTATTAAATCTCTGCACATATCTGGCACAACAAATAATACAGAATAGTACCCAGATTTTTTCAGTGTCACCAATATACAGGTGACGTGGCTTGGCCCCAAAGGAAGTTTTGCACGCAATATATTAATAGGAAAAACACTTACAGTTGGCGCCATGTAATGGGCATTTTTGATGACGCAAGGGTCGACAAAGTGTTCGTGTTGTTGGTCAACAAATTCCACTACTCGACCTTCGCTGGTACCCGAAAGGGCGACAAAGTCCCACATTTGAAGGTGCTGGACCATTTCACAGAGTCCTACGCCGCCAGCATGGGGACATACTTTGACTGGAATAAGTTTTAGTTTGAATTGATGTTTGATGAAAATAAAAATGGATTGAGAATTAATGATGAATAATATTTACTTAGAAAATTGATGTGAATATACAGGGTGTTACAAATTCGTGAGTAAGCATATGGGAATCTCGGTTACAGGGTCGGATAAATTGGGGCGAAGTTCCAAATAAATGACACTTCATCATTGCTACTTTTTCTCCTCTACAATATGGCATTATTGTCAAATTTGATATCCGACGTTTCGTCTTTGTGTAAAGATACAGAGTGATCAATATTTTACTATTCTCGGCTCTTGTAGGAAAAGATACAGGATGATCAATAATTTATTATCTCTAGTTTGCAACGTAGAAAATCCTTCACGAGAGCCGAAAATAGACAAGAATTAATTGAATTTTTTTTAAAATTATTTGTTGAATTGACAGTTTGTCATCGACCCTCCTTTTCTAATCAATGAGAGTGACTCTTTTCTGGAAAAATATGCTATCAAATTGGCTATGGATTGACAAATGTATAATTATTTGTTAATTGTACAATTTGACAGAAGTGACCATTGACAGTCAACTTCAAGACAGAAATTAATTGAAAATAAATTTTTATTATTTGTTGAAATGACAGTTTGTCATCGACCCTCCTTTTCTAATTTATGAGAGTAACAAGGGACTTCCTGGAAAAATATGTTATTAGGTTGGTCATGGATTGACACATGCATAATTATTTAACCGATACTTCATTGTACAATTTGACAGGAGTGACTATTGACAGTCTACTTCAAGAGCCGAGAATAGACAAAAACTGATTGAAAAGAAATCTTTATTATTTGTTGAATTGACAGTTTATCATCGGCCGTCCTTTTCTAATCAATGAGAGTCACAAGGGACTTTCTTTAAAAATATGATATTAGGTTGGCCATGGATTGACACATACATAATTATTTGACTAATACTTCATCGTACAATTTGGCAGAAAGTGACCATTGACAGTCAATTTCAAGAGCCAGAAATAGACAAAAATTGATTGGAAAGAAATCTTCATTATTTGTTGAATTGACAGTTTGTCATTTGTCCTCCTTCTGAAATCAATGATATTAACAAGGAACTTTCTGGAAAAATGTGTTATCAAGTTGACCATGGATTGGAACATGCATATTTATTTGACTAATACTTCATCGTATAATTTGACAGAAAGTGACCATTGACAGTCAACTTCAAAAGCCAGAAATAGACAAAAATTGATTGGAAAGAAATCTTCAGTATTTGTTGAATTGACAGTTTGTCATCGGCCGTCCTTTTCTAATTAATGAGAGTCACAAAGGACTTTCTTTAAAAATATAATATTAGGTTGGTCATGGATTGACACATACATAATTATTTGACCAATACTTCATCGTACAATTTGGCAGAAAGTGACCATTGACAGTCAATTTCAAGAGCCAAAAATAGAAAAAAATTTTTTGGAAAAAAATCTTCATTATTTGTTGAATTGACAGGTTGTCATTTGTCCTCCTTCTGAAATTTATGATAGTAACAAGAAACTTTCTGGAAAAATGTGTTATCAAGTTGGCCATGGATTGGAACATGCATATTTATTTGACTAATACTTCATCGTACAATTTGACAGGAGTGACTATTGACAGTCTACTTCAAGAGCCGGGAATAGAAAAAAACTGATTGAAAAGAAATCTTCATTATTTGTTGAATTGACAGTTTGTCATCGGCCGTCCTTTTCTAATTAATGAGAGTCACAAAGGACTTTCTTTAAAAATATAATATTAGGTTGGTCATGGATTGACACATACATAATTATTTGACTAATACTTCATCGTACAATTTGGCAGAAAGTGACCATTGACAGTCAACTTCAAGAGCCAGAAATAGACAAAAATTGATTGGAAAAAAATCTTCATTATTTGTTGAATTGACAGGTTGTCATTTGTCCTCCTTCTGAAATCAATGATAGTAACAAGGAACTTTCTGGAAAAATGTGTTATCAAGTCGGCCATGGATTGAAACATGCATATTTATTTGACCAATACTTCATTGTACAATTTGACAGAAGTGATCATTAACAGTCAACTTCAAGAGCCGAAAATAGACAAACATTGATTGAAAAAGAACCTTTATTATTTGTTGAATTGAAAGTTTGTCATCGGCCCTATTTTTCTAATCAGTGAGAGTGACAAGGAACTTTCTGGAAAAATATGTTATCAAGTTGACCATGGATTGACCTATGCATAATTATTTGACCAATACTTCATTGTACAATTTGACAGAAGAGACCAATAACAGTTAACTTCAAGAGCCGGGAATAGACAAAAATTGATTGAAAAGAAATCTTTATTATTTGTTGAATAAACAGTATCTGATCATAATATATAGAAGCAGATAAAAATTCTGGAAGAATATCTATGCAGAAAAGTCAGCAGATTTAAATAAGAGACATATTGTGAATTAAAGCAAAAAGTAAAATGGACTGTTGATCATGATGAACTATGCCTGGTTGTGAAAATAAAACCTCAATAATAGTACAATTTTCCCTGCTTAAAATAATAATTTTGAACTGGTAGAAGATGAAAATGAATGATAAACTGAATTTCCAATTACCTCCCATTTTTTTAGCCATCAAGTAAACACTCAAAATCTCATTAATCCCACCAATCCTGGCCGAATCAATCTGACAATATTCCAATGCCTGAGCCTGCAAAAATTGCTTGAACAAAACCCGGTTGCAGCACATTTCCCCTGTAGCCACCGCAATTCCATAAGGCTTCAAAGCCTTGGCGATTTCAGCATGTCCAAGGACATCATCCGGGCTTGTGGGTTCTTCGATCCACAACGGCTTGAATTTAGCCAAGTGTTTCATCCAGTCAATGGCCTCTTGCACTTCCCAAACTTGGTTGGCGTCTACCATTAGGGTTCTGTCGTAACCAATGATGCTTCTGAGTAGTTCGCATCTTTTAATGTCGTCCTGGAGGTTTTTGCCCACTTTAACTTTGAAAACAGTGTAGCCTTGGTCTAGGTATTTTTGGGCTAGTTCGCGGATTTTTTCGTCCGGGTAACCCAACCATCCTAAAATTATTTGTTGACTTCAAATCTCTTTATAAATGAAATAGATCAGGATGCCTATATGAGTTCCATCCTGACCCATTCAATCTACCATCATACCTGCTTGGGTCGTATAACAAGGATATCCTTTTTCCAACAAAACCTTAATCCTGTCCTCTTTGCCTTTCTGTCCCTGCCTAAGCAATTCCAAGGCTTCAGCCTTAGTGACGCAATTGGTTACATAGCGAAAGTCAATAACTGACAATAGAACTTCAGGCTCTAAATCGGCTAGTAAACGCCAGACCGGTTTTTTGAGCAACTTGCCCCACAAGTCCCACAAAGCGTTTATAATCGCAGCTGTCGCCAAGTGGGTAACACCTTTTTCTGGACCAATCTAAATTTTTGTTTGTTGAATGAAAATTTTTTATGTCTGATTGGTGAGGTAGAAACTCACCCATCTCATTTGACTCTCACTGGTTAAAGATCTCCAAAAAGTGGCAAAGTCTTTGTAGATGTCGGTGACGATTTGGCCAAGGACCAAGTAGCTCATGGATTTGACAGCTTGGACGACCACTTCTGTGCCTCTGCCATTTGTGAATGTCAAGCCGTTACCTTCAAGGCCGTTAGCCAGCTTGACAGTTACGTAGGCGCATGAGTAATCGGGGTCTGTGTGCTAGAAAAATTATTTTCAGGAAAATTTGTTCTTTAATTAAAATAGTAAATAATTAAGATTATATATTACATAAAAACTTTGACACAAATCGATAAATAATAAGTAGGTATTATATTCTTATCAGCTTGATATCGCTGTATACTTCAAAATTGTATAGTTTTTTTCAGTTTTAGTCAAAATTCAAATGCGATTTTAAAGGGTTTTTCAATTTGCTTGAATATTTTAACTTTATTTCTGATCATCAAGATTCACTTCAGAGGGTTTATCTTGCCTTTTCAAAAAGATTCTGATCTAGGAAGTTTTTGAAGGATCTCAACTGTAATTTTAGAAGATTTCTCTGCAGAAATATCCCAGCTGCATTTCTGAAAATCATATTAACTTCAGGTTTAGTTTGCCCTGGTAAGAGATCTGCCTCTGATTCAAAAATTTTGCAAAAGACCCTGCCCTCGACCCTGCCCAAAGTATACGGAAATTGTGTTTATGTCAGAATCGGCTGAATTTTGTATATATTGTGATCTACATTATATACAAATATACACGAGCATATTATGGGCTTCTGGTTAATTCATTACCAAAGTATACGGAAATTGTGTTTATGTCAGAATTGGCTGAATTTTGTATATAATGCAGATCACGCCTTTCTGATTAAAAGTTACCATTGCACTAATCCCGAAAAATGACTCCTATTTGAGAAAATGAATTTCATAGGTAGCAAGTAAAACGCTTGAATGGACGTTCAATGAATGACGAATAGGAGTAAGCTTGTGGGGCAGTGGTGTGCTTACGTGGAGTCATTTTTCAGGATTAGTGCTTTAGTAACTTTTATTCAGAAAGGCGTGATCTACATTATATACAAAATTCAGCCAATTCTGACATAAACACAATTTCCGTATACTTTGGTAATGAATTAACCAGAAGCCTATAATATGCTCAGTTTGCTCAGCAAAAAAATATTAGGTGTGGGTTGATAGTTTTTAATAAGTACAGTATGGCAAGGGCGCCACTGAATTTTTAAAAGATTTATAAAATTGCATAAAATATCGAAATGATAGAAAATAATTAGCAAACGGTTCTTTCAAGTCTTTGAGATGTTTAGTAATAATTTTTAGAGGGTTTCAACAGCGATTTTAGAGGATTTCTCTAATTTTATCCAAGCTTTATACTCTATTTCTCGGCTTCAGGCCTAAGAATCCTACAAATTTGAAGTCACCATAAACATTTCGGCTTTCAACAGCGACTTTTTTTAATTTTCTTCAAGGTTTAACATAAAGAAAAATATTGTCACACGCCTCACGGCTAATGTGGGTAGAGCCTCAAGTTAGGGGTTGCTCTCCAGGAAAACACACAAGTACAAAAAGGAGCTTGAAGTATATTGTCTGCTAATGGGTACATCACCAAAGGGGCACTACGTAGGTGCGCCACATTAGGGACTCTACGTATATATACTGGGATGCAACTGGTTCCCGCATGTATAGACTTTCTCAGGTAAGGCGACCCGGAAAAAAACTGCTCCAAAACTCTCTGGGGTAAGGCGACCCTGAAAAGAAGTGTAGTTACCGCTCCCTTGTATAAGGAAACCCTGAGGAAAGAAGGACCCAAATGGCTGTCGATATACCATGGGCTGCATTGGTTTATATATCCATGTCGCCTACTTTCATCTACAACTCTACGGCGTGGCCCTTAAATTTTTCCATAACAACTATCAGTACATTCAAACATCATTCCTGATACAATAATGACAGTCCAAAATTTCGTTTGGGTACTGTGTTTTCGTTTAGGTACTTCGATGCTAAATAGGGAGATTCAGCATCACAGGTTCTCCAATCGGCACCTCCACCATATGTCACACGCCTCGCGGCTAATGTGGGTATAGGACCTCAAGCTAAGGGTTGCTCTCCAGGAAAACACACAACTTCAAAAAAGGAGCTTTATGTATATTGTCTGCTGGTGGGTACATCACCAAAGGGGCACTACGTAGGTGAACCTCACGTTTGGAGCTCTACGTACATATATGGGGATGCAACTGGTTGCCGCACGTATAAGCGGCGTTGCCCTCAAGGGCAAGACTCTCTCGGGTAAGGCGATCCTGAAGAAAATTGCTCCAAGACTCTCTAGGGTAAGGCGACCCTGAAGGAAAGTGTAGCTACTGCTCCTTTGGATAAGGAAATCCTTATTCACATTTGGTTAAGGATCGAATCTGAAAATCCTGGGAAAATTTGAAGACGTGACGTCTATACGTATTTTTTGGAGGCTCTCAAATACGATTTTAAAGTTTCTTCAATTTCCTTCATGGATTAACATGGACTTGAAAATCTAGATTCTAATTCACTTCTGGTTAAGGCTCAAATCTGATAATCCTGGGAAATTTTGAACTCCCTGTAACGTCTATAAGGATTTTTTGAACGCTCTCAAATGCGACTTAAGGGTTTTTTCAATTTCCTTAAAGGACAGAAAAGTCTAACACTAGTCTTCAGCTTTTGATTTACTTCTGATTAGGGCTCTTATCTGAAAATCCTGGGAAAATTTGAAGACCCTGTGACATATTTTTTGGAGGCTCTCAAATGCTACTTTATTTATTTTATTTTTTTCAATTTTCACAAAGGATCAACATTAACTTAAAAGTCTAACTCTATTTCTCAGCTCCTGATTCACTTCTGAGTAAGGCTCTAATCTGAAAATCCTGGGAAAATTTGAAGTCCCTGTGACGTCTATAATAAGTATCTTTTCAAGGCTCTCAAATGCAACTTTAGGGTTTTTCCAATTTCCCTAGAGGATCAACATAGGCATAAAAGTCTACCTCTATTTCTCAGCTTCTGATTCAGTTCTGGTCAAGGCTCTAATATGAAAATCCTGGGAAAATTTTGAAGTCCCTGTGACGTCTATAAGTATTTTTCAGTGGCTCTCAAATGCGACTTTAGGGTTTTTTCAATTTCCCTAGAGGATCATCATGGACATAAAAGTCTACTTGTATTTCTCAGTTTCTGATTCACTTCTGGTCAAGGCTCTTATCTGAAAATCCTTAGAAAATTTGAAGTCTCTATGACGTCTATAAGTATTTTTTGGAGGCTCTCAAATGTGACTTTGGAGTTTTTTGAATTCCCTTAAAGAATCAACATGGACTTGAAAATCTAGCTTCTGATTCACTTCTGGTTAAGGCTCTAATCTAAAAATCCTGGGAAAATTTGAAGTTCCTGTGACATTTAAGTAAGTATTTTTTGGAGACTCTCAAATACGACTTTAGGGTTTTTCAATTTCCTTGAAGGATTAACATGGACATGAAAGTCTAACTCTATTTTTCAGGTTTTGATTCACTTCTGGTCAAGGCTCTTATCTGAAAGTCCTGAGAAAATTTGAAGCCCCTATGACGTACTATAAGTATTTTTCAGTGGCTCGCAAATGCGACTTAAGGGTTTTTCCAATTTCCCCAAAGGATCAACATGGACATGAAAGTCTACCTCTATTTCTCAGCTTCTGATACACTTCTGGTTAATGCTTTAATCTGAAAATTCTGGGAAAATTTGAAGTCCCTGTGACGTCTATAAGTATTTTTTGGAGGCTCTCAAATACGACTTTAGGGTTTTTCAATTTCCTTAAAGGATTAACATGGACATGAAAATCTAACTCTATTTTTCAGGATTTGATTATCTAAAAGTCCTGAGAAAATTTGAAGCCCCTATGACGTACTATAAGTATTTTTCAGTGGCTCGCAAATGCGACTTAAGGGTTTTTTCAATTTCCCTAGAGGATCAACATGGACATAAAAGTCTACCTCTATTTCTCAGCTTCTGATACACTTCTGGTTAAGGCTCTAATCTGAAAATTCTGGGAAAATTTGAAGTCCCTGTGACGTCTATAAGTATTTTTTGGAGGCTCTCAAATGTGACTTTGGGGTTTTTTGAATTCCCTTAAAGAATCAACATGGATTTGAAGGTCTAGCTTCTGATTCACTTCTGGATAAAGCTCTAATCTAAAAATCTTGAGAAAATTTGAAGTCCCTGTGACGTCTACAAGTATTTTTTGGAGGCTCTCAACTGCGACTTTAAGGGTTTTTCAATTTTGTTAAAGGATCAACATGGACATAAAAGTCTAACTCTATTTCTCAGCTTCTCATTCACTTCGGGTTAAAGCTCCATTTTGAAAATCCTGAGAAAATTTGAAGTCCTTATGACGTCTATGAGTATTTTTTGGAGGCTCTCAAATGCGACTTTAGGGTTTTTCCAATTTCATTAAAGGATCAACATGGACTTGAAAATCTAATTTCAGATTCACTTCTGGTTAAGGCTCTAATCTGAAAATCCTGCGAAAATTTTGAAGTCCCTGAGACGTCTATAAGTATATTTCAGTGGCTCTCAAACGCGACTTTAGGGTTTTTCCAATTTCCCTAGAGGATCAACATGGGCATAAAAGTCCAGCTCTATTACTCAGCTTCTGATTCACTTCTGGTCAAGGTTCTTATCTGAAAATCCTGAGAAAATTTGAGCCCCTATGACATCTGTAGTATTTTTTGGAGACTCTTAAATGTGACTTTGAGGTTTTTTGAATATCCTTAAAGGATCAATATGGATTTTATAGTCTAGCTTCTGATTCACTTCTGGTCAAAGCTCTAATCTAAAAATCCTGAGAAAATTTGAAGTCTCTGTGACACCTATAAGTATTTTTTGGAGACTCTCAAATGCGACTTTGGGCTTTTTCAATTTCCTTAAATGATTAACATGGACATAAAAGTATGACTTTATTTCTCAGGTTCTGATTCACTCCTGGTTAAGATTCTAATCTGAAAATCCTGGGAAAATTTGAAGTCCTTGTGACATCTATAAGTATTTTTGGAGGCTCCAAATGCGATTTTACTTTTTTTTCAATTTCCTCAAAGGATCAACACAAACTTAGAAGTCTAACTTTATTTCTCAACTCCTGATTCACTTCTGGTTAAGGCTGTAATCTGAAAATCCCGAGAAAATTTGAAGTCTTTGTGAAGTCTATAAGTATTTTTTGGAGGCTTTTAAAAGCGACTTCGGGGTTTTTTCAATTTCCTTAGAGGATCAGGATGGACTTGAAAGTCTAGCTTCTGATTCACCTCTGGTTAAGGCTTCAATCTGAAAATCCTGGGAGAATTTGAAGTCTTTGTGACGTCTATAAGTATTTTTTGAAGGCTCTCAAATGTCACTTTAGGGTTTTTTCAATTTCCTTAAAAGATCAACATAGACATAAAAGTTTAACTCTATTTCTCAGCTTCTGATGCACTTCTGTTTAAGGCTCTTATCTGAAAGTCCTAGGAAAATTTGAAGTTCCTGTGACATCCAAAAGTATTTTTTGAAGGCACTCAAATACGATTCCAGGAGAATTTTACAAGCCATAGACTGACTTCCCGTTGATTTTGCTTCATAAGAGAGAATTTTGTTTGAAAATGCTTGAAGTTCGAAGTCAATCTAAGGACTAGACATTTATTTCAAAGTCTCTCTTCTCTGAGTCCTTATTTTTGAAACTAGGGAGCAGCATTCCCAGGAGAACGAGAGTTCCGTCTTTTTCAATGATATGCAAATGATAATATAAGTAACAAAGATGAAACACTCGTTCTCCTGGGAACGCTGCTCCCTTATTTCAAGAATAAGGACCCTGAAGTCTTGGGAATATTTTCAGATTTTTTAAAACCAGTTTTGCCTTCTACAAGAGAGACTGTGACGCCTAGAAGAATTTGCTGGATGCGATTTTTTTCGGGATCAAGATGGGGAATAAAATTTTACGTATAAAATCTATGAGCTTTTAAAGAACCAGAGTTGGCTGTGAAATTGAAATTCAAAAATTTACTTGATTGAAACTCTTATACTCATTAGTATGTTATTAGATTATCAAGTTTTTGATTAAAATTCTATTAAAAATCCAATATTAAAACACATACCAAACAAATGATCTTATCAACCAGAATTATATTTTTCAACATTTTTATCTTTGTTTAATTAACCCATGTACAAATAAGAATATTGAATTTCGATTACCCCATGTGATTTATTTATTTGTTTTGGAGCCATTGTGTTTCAAGTACAAAATAACAAAGTTTCAATGAGAAAAATACATCATATTGTCTACTGTCAAAAGGGTTTATTCAACTTGAAACTCAAATAATTTATTTCGTGACCTCAAAGGATTGATTTTGGAGGAATTTCGTGAATTTAAGGACCAAAAGAAACTAGAAACTCAAAAAATTCATTTTGTGTCCTTAGATGTTGATTCTGAAGGAGTTTTGTAGGTCCAAGTTTAAGGTTTAAGGGTTAAGTGTTACTTACCATGGCATCAGATCCATCTGCTTGTAAGGACGTAGGGAACCTAACATCCTTAACTTCAACAGCGACAACTTTCAAATTAAGCTCGGTAGTAGCCATGTTCAGTATTGCTGCAGCCACATAAAACTATTTTGGTCGTACCAGTACGCGGTACTTCTATTTATAATATTTAATCTTTATGTCAAGTGCGTGTTTTATCGCTATAGCGTGCCAACAACCGATTATATATGATTTATGTAATAAGAAATATAAAGTTGAGATCATAATATTTTATTTGCAGGTATATTGTCGAATTGAATCAAACTTTTCAGGAATTGTTACTAATACGGTATAATTTGTTGAAATTTTAATGGAAATATTGCCAATTTTTCTCAAACTTGTCATGATTCAAAAAAAAAATCCAAAATCTCCATACTTACTCGCGAATTTATTCGAATCTGTTTTGGATATAAATTGCGTTCTGTCACTAAACCACTCTCCCTCATAGTTACAAATTGAAAAATATGGATCAATTTTATGAGAGTTGTTGATGCATAGGAGGGAAAAAAACTCTTTCGCAGACGGGGTTTAATATTTATGACGTTGTTATGGAAAACGAAATTTTACACAAATTGTCATTGGGTTTAGTTACACAATACAAAGTCTATTGCTCTATTTCGTTACTCACATGCAGCACACACAAGACAAATTTTACGGCATGTAAAAATAGGTCAAAGGGTTTTCCAATTTTATTCGATTCTCCTCTAAGACCGTTCAACCGTAATAATAGCAAATTGATTGTAAAAAGACACGTAGATTTTTTCTATATATACCCTAGCCTGTTCTGATAATTATTACAGTAATTAGTCCAAGAAACAAAGTGATTAATTACATTTAACCCTATAGCGATTGTAGCTGACAGCCCAGAACTACCATCAACAACCATTAGTTTTCGTTTGATTCACTCGAATTTAAAATTCTTTTTTGCTGCAAACAGAATAATAAATAACCAAGGAACTTAAACAGAATCAACTAAGGTATAAAGGAAGGCCAACATTATATTCTTAAATTTATTTTACTTCCCTAAACTCAGTTTGCCTCATCAAATTATCAAAGTTGCAAAATTGTTTCGGGGGTAATACATTGACAAAGTTCCCCATAACGAGCTAGAAACTAGGGTATAGCTGTAATACAAGTTTGTATAAGCAAAAACTAGCCTTTGACGGTCTAAAATATATATTACTAGCTAACAGTAGATTCGGGCAATAAAAATCGGCTTAAGTCGTCCTGAAATGTATTAATTACCCCCCCATCTATTCGGTATTATTGCCGTCCTGCTACGATAAATTAGACTGTTTAAATGTTTGGCATTTTGTCAGGCTTATGGGACACAATCGATAAATTTTAGGGGGTGCACGCTTTGAGTGCAAGGTGGAAACGGAGGGGCTATTAATCATAACCAATTTCTTGGGGGGGTGTTTACATTTTATTGTATCTTGGGTTGGTGCAGGAGAGATATCTATATGGATCTGGAATTGGGTTTTTGTTTGTTCTGTTGCAAGTTGTAGATTGGTCAATTGTATCTATGTCCAGGGGTGCGATTCTCGAAACAATTCGAGTGCATTTCGTACACTTGACTGGCAGCAATGTTAATTAGCGCCTTACAAATTTGGCGCCCGAGCAGGGACCTAATGATGCTTCCGCCAGTACAAGTTTATTCGTATCCAGACCAACTCCATTGCCCAGCAGGAAGGTTTTTTTCTGAAGAAGAGGGGGTGTGTAACGAAGTTACTTTAAGTGGCAAACAACTTCTGGGAAAAAGGGCTGGACTGATGGAGAAAATATAAACAGGTTCGTGTAGTATGGAGTTTGCGTGGGAGAGATTGGTTTATATTATGTCGTCGTCGTCTTGTCATCGATCGAAAAAAAAAGTCTAGCCGAGAAACCGAGTTCTCGGAAAATCGCACCAAAATCTAATACTCTAGAGACAAGGCCATTGAGTTATTGATAAAAATGTTTGTAAAACGCTCTAACTATACAGGTCTAGAGACAATTCTGTGACAGCTATACAGGTCCAGAGACAGGTTCGATACAGCTTTAGACAAGTCTGTATACAACTATACAGCTAAATAGATCTCTGTCTATTATAGAGACGGAGCTTCTTGGATCTAGTTTGTCTATAGAAACTTTCAAGTCAGGTCTGATGGCACAAACAGAGATCTGTTTAGATGTATACATGTACCTGAGGTTATGTTCAGATTTTTGTAGTGAAACCCGTGTTGTTACACTACTGATGCCATCAGGTCCTGGTGCTTTTAAGGCGGAGAAGCCTGAAATTGCCCAACCTATTTTTTCCTCGTATATTATTTGATTCGCTAGTTGGCCAATCAGCCACAGAGGGTATGTATATTACCTGCGTCTGATCTTCCACAATTGTGGTTATTTTCCTGATTCTAACTAATTGCAATTTGTTTCCCATTATTTCATGTTGATTTCTTCCGAAGTCTTCAGATATAAAGTGGCCTTTCTCAACTTCCTGAGATATCTCAGGAAATGTGAAATTTATCTTATTCTTTCGACTTCTTGAATTTGTCATTTTTCGTTCAATTATTTGAATTCTTAGTATGTTTTGCATCTAAGCCTCAAAAATATCGCCTCAAAATGTCATGTTTGTGTCTCAAGTAGTTTTTGAGTAAATGGTCAAAATATAGAGGCATGTCATATTCAGCTTTATAGAAGAAAATATTCATTTTTTAAAATTTTGTAACTTTGACATTTTTCGTTCAATTGATTTGAATTTTTAGTATGTTTTGCCTCTAAGCCTCAATAATATCACCTCAAAATGTCATGTGTGCGCCTCAAGTAGTTTTTGAGTAAATGGTCAAAATATAGAGGCATGTCATATTCAGCTTTATAGAAGAAAATATCCATTTTTCAAAATTTTGTAACTTTGACATTTGATTTGAACTTCTAGTATATTTTGGCTCTAAGTCTCAAAAATAACGCCTCAAAATGTCATGTTTGTACCTTAAGTATTTTTTGAGTAAATGGTCAAAACGTAGAGGCATGTCATTTTCAGCTTTATAGAAGAAAATATCCATTTTTTAAAATTTTGTAACTTTGACATTTTTCGTTCAATTGATTTGAATTTTTAGTATGTTTTGCTTCTAAGCCTCAAAAATATCGCCTCAAAATGTCATGTTTGTACCTCAAGTAGTTTTTGAGTAAATGGTCAAAATGTAGAGGCATGTCATTTTCAGGTTTATAGAAGAAAATATCCATTTTTTAAAATTTTGTAACTTTGACATTTTTTGTGCAATTGATTTACATTTTTGATATGTTTTGCCTCTCAGCCTCAAAAATATCACCTCAAAATGTCATGTTTGTGCCTCAAGTAGTTTTTGAGTGAATGAACTAGATGTAGAGGCATGTCATATTCAGCTTTATAGAATAAAATATCCATTTTTTAAAATTTTGTAACTTTGACATTTTCAGTTCAATTGATTTGAATTTTTAGTATGTTTTGCCTCTAAGCCTCAAAAATATCGCCTCAAAATGTCATGTTTGTACCTCAAGTAGTTTTTGAGTAAATGGTCAAAATGTAGAGGCATGTCATTTTCAGGTTTATAGAAGAAAATATCCATTTTTTAAAATTTTGTAACTTTGACATTTTTTGTTCAATTGATTTACATTTTTGATATGTTTTGCCTCTCAGCCTCAAAAATATCACCTCAAAATGTCATGTTTGTGCCTCAAGTAGTTTTTGAGTGAATGATCGAGATGTAGAGGCATGTCATATTCAGCTTTATAGAATAAAATATCCATTTTTTAAAATTTTGTAACTTTGACATTTTCAGTTCAATTGATTTGAATTTTTAGTATGTTGTGCCTCTAAGCCTCAAAAATATCGCCTCAAAATGTCATGTTTGTACCTCAAGTAGTTTTTCAGTAAATGGTCAAAATGTAGAGGCATGTCATTTTCAGGTTTATAGAAGAAAATATCCATTTTTTAAAATTTTGTAACTTTGACATTTTTTGTTCAATTGATTTACATTTTTGATATGTTTTGCCTCTCAGTCTCAAAAATATCACCTCAAAATGTCATGTTTGTGCCTCAAGTAGTTTTTGAGTAAATGATCGAAATGTAGAGGCATGTCATATTCAGCTTTATAGAAGAAAATATCCATTTTTTAAAATTTCGTAACTTTGACATTTCTCATTCAATTGATTTGAATTTTTAGTATGTTTTGCCTCTAAGCCTCGAAAATATCACCTCAAAATGTCATATTTCTGCCTCAAGTAGTTTTTGAGTAAATGGTCAAAATATAGAGGCATGTCATTCAGCTTTATGGCAGAAAATATCCAGTCTAATAATTCCCTTGGGCTTCATTTTGTAACACTTATTCAGTTGATTCCATGATGATTAGATTGAAGAAGCTGCTTGGCAATTTGCATTTTTGTTGGATTAATTTTGAAGATCTGAATCCATGACTCCATGATGAAGGATTAATGAGAATGTTCATCAGCTACTCCTCCAGAATCCTAAGCCTAGTAGTTTTCGCATTGATAACTCCTCTGTTTTTTATTGATCATGAGACCTGGTGCTTTTCTGCATTCATTTTATGTACAGCTTATCTTATTTCTGCGATCTTTATTGCTTTTTCCTGTATATTAAAATCTTCTCCTAGTGTGTTGCTTTCTAGAATTTCTCTATTGTAACAATTGTAACAAAACATTCATTCAAAAAAAAAATAACGAACATTCAAGAGCCGGTAATAGACAAAAATTGAGTCGAAAAAACTGAGAATATTAACTACACTTTTTTATAAAATAAGGGCAGTTGTAAAATGTAAACTCATTATTTCGGCAAAAATATGATTTGTACATTTACAGAAATCTCCACCGAAAAGAATAACAATGAGGTCAGGTCAGAGGGGAGCCTGTACCTACTTGATATGCATGAAACATGATACACCTCCCAAAAGGTAAATCTTTTTTTACAAAATATTTAATTAAAAACAAGTCAGGGATTGTACGGGTGAAGCCAAAAATCTACATCTGCTATTGACACCCTCGAAAATAATGCGCCCTTACTTTTCAAAAACTGTCAAGGGTCCTTGTAAAAGTGAAAATTCGCCACAAATCCCTTTTGTAGAGACTTTT